ATCATCAGCAAAAGAACGTCGCAAGAAAACAACCCACTGTTTCAGTGTAACAACGAGGAATAATTCCTACTTTAACTTAGTTATTATAATTATCCTTCTAAATCTTTATTTTATTCTACCTACTTCAAGTTTATGGTGTTAGCTATCCAACTCTTTGAACGGTGCATCAAACATAGTTACGGTTCAAAAGTTATGGCCGTTACAAAAATTATCAAAAATCAGGCTTCCCTCGGGTTAGGTTGTGTCGACCCTTGCGTAGACTGCTCCAGGTTTTTGTGTCGACCGTTCACTGTTGTTGTTGTTTGCGTCGATCGCTTCCCTATTTGCATCAACGCAAACTGTTAAATTCTGAGTTTTTCTGTGATTTTTCTGCGATTTCACTAAATTTTGGCTCCTAAAACATCATCTAATCATAGGAATTCATCATCCATTATCATCCTATGTTTCTACATCAATTATACATCATTTGCGCATTAACGTTCATCTTATATTTCATCAAATCCTCATCCAAAATTCTCAAATCCTAATTCTCATTACTCATAGGTTCTAGATTGGGGTTTTATGCAACAATCATCATAACAACGCAATCACAACCATAATCACAACATAGCATCGCAGATCCATGTATAATCATATACAACACATCAATTCAATCAAAACAAACAAATTATGCATCAGTCATATAAAATAACCTAAGAGGGAAAGGAATCCTCACTACTCTCTCATGTAAGATCACCAATTAGAGAATCCATTCACCCCCTTACCTTATGATTATTGTTAGCTTTCGATTCCTCTTCTCGTTCTACAAATTCCTCTTTGCCTCCATGTCTCCTTGTGCCCTAGCTTCTCCTTTGCTCTTCTCCCAATATCTTGATCGTACCAAATGATCGTACAATTCTCTTTTCCCTCAGTTATCACAAGGACCCCTAATATCTTCCTCAATTTCCATTACTTAGCATTATACCATTTACTGTCATGCTCTCACTCTTTCTACTAATTATCATTTTGTCCTTATTTTCTCTAGACTTCTATTATTCTATTATTCTAATTACTTAAATCCAAATAATCCCAATTAATCACTATTAAATCTAAATAATTCCGAAATAATTATTTAAATTCCAAACCTTCTTACTAACTCATCCTACACCACATAATTCATCATCTTAAAAACCTTATTCATCAAATCATCGCTATTTGCATCACAATTGTATCACGAATACACATCATATACCGTCACAAGGACTCACACAAGGAACCAAAACATCATAAATAAGCATCAAACATCAAAACACCATCTACTTCACATAGACTCATATAATCATATTAAATTAATTAAATAAATAATTAATCTAAAATTCGGGGTGTTATAGAAATCGTTCGAGATATATTTTGGAGTCACCTCGATTCCATAAAGTTGTTCAATACATTTCCACTGTACTCCTTATTGATTCATAAGACCAATAAGTATAAACTTCCACTATTGTAAATTATTGGTATTACTTCTACAAAAAAAAGACTTTATCGATTGTGTTTGCATTTTTGGAAAGTAAAAAAGAGAACAATGTTACTTGGGCTTTAGAAGTTGTGTCGAACTATGTTAAAGGACCAAGAGAACACGCCAACGGTCATTGTCCCCCATCGCGATATCACACTAATGAATTTGGTTGCGAGTGTATTTTCTACATCATACATACTACTTTATAGGTGTCACATAACAAAGAATGTAAGAAGTACACTTAAGCTTGAGGTAGGGACCAAACAAATAAATGACGAAGATGAAAAAATGGCCAAAACAAGTGTGGTATGGAAAGCATAATGGATGCCTGAAATGTTATAATAAATTTTTCTACCAAAGAGTTATATGTCGATATTGTTATACATTTTAGGAAGGTCTTTGAGAAATATTTGATTTTCTTGAAATATGTTGAAAGTACGATTCTAGATCAAGTGAAGGAGAAACTTGTTTGTGATTGGACCAATCAAGTTATGCACTTTAAAAATACAACAAGTAACCGAGTTAAATATGCCCATGCTACATTGAAGAGTTGGTTGGGAAATAGTAAATGTGATTTATGTAGAGATTGAGACTCGGTGAACCAAATGATCCAAAATAAAAATAATGAGATACAAACATCATTTTACTGCAACATTACAGTGTTAGAACATATTTAGAGACAATAATATCTATTCACAGTTGGTGGACAATATATCTCGATCGGGATTAGATTTTATTTTTCACGAAGTCAAATAAGCTGATAAAGTAGGTTCATATAGCTCAAAGTGTGGTTATATACTTAGGATGACATACGACTTCCATGAACTTGTTTAGTTTTAAAGAAGGTGAAACTTGATAGCCCAATACGAATGGAATAGATTTACACCCACTGGAAAAGGCTATGATTTGATGATGATGGTGTGATGAAGGATGATAAATCAAATATATCTATCTTGACTGAATGAGAAGTTATTCAAGAGATATTTTTGAAAGATGATGAAAACATGAAACTCCACACCAAAGAGCAATTGATGAAGATTGCCTATCCATAAACCACATATTGTGAAAGCACCGTCGCAATCGATAAAAACAAAGGGTGCTCATAAGAAGATCAAATCAACACTGAGTAACAATTCAATGGTTTAGTCTCCTTCTTATTTTGAACATGTTAGCATACTTTTTTTCGGCTTCTCCTAATTTAAAATCTCAAAAAAAGTGTTTTCAAATGTGCTCGCATTAGAAAACCATCTCATACACCCCTTTGACAAAAAATCAAACGCATTGAAGAGATGTCGATTTTATGCATAAATATATTGAACGGATTGTAAATGTTTAGGGTGACGGTAACTACGATTATCGAACTGTTTTAACTTTGCTCAATAAAGGAGAGGAGAATCATACACTTGTCCATCAACGACTTATCAAAAAGTTGAAGGTGCATAAAAAATCATACATAGCGCTATACGGGAACAATATTTTGATGCAATTCATGAATCTCTTATTCCTTGTGTTAGCGGCCCGATACCAGAGAAAAAATGGATGTGCTTCCTTGAAATAAGTCATCTTATAGAAAATGCGTACAATAGGGTGTGTATTTTTTTTGACAAGATACATGTTCTCAAAAATATTTTTTTCACTTCGAAGTGTTCCACCGTAAAATCCAACCGATTACATTATGTGTATTGAGTGACTTTCAAAATTACTATATTTAGTTCAAGTTTATTTGAAACTGGCAAATGCCCTATACCATAGACATCATTGTAGTGGACAACTGATTCAACAAAGAAAGTTGAAACTTGACCAGATCATTTTTTAGATAGGATGGAAGAATTCACCAAGTTGAACAAAATTTAAAAAGAATTAAATAAACAAAAGTTAAAGGTGGGAATCACCCATAGATATAGATTTAGATGATGACACATATTTTGATTCATTTTAGTTTTTTTAATATAACAATGTACTTAGGTGGTGACACATGTTTTTTTTAACGTTGGATTGATATTAACGATGTAAATTGTATACAATTTAAAGTATATTTCAGTTTTCTAATTACTTTCAACGTTTTTGAGTTTCATAGCAGATTTTATTTCTATAACAGGTTATGTGTGAACAATTATGCGTGAATCAGAAAATACATTTACAGACACACTCTGATTTTATACTAATTGAGGTTTATTCGAAAATGCATTTTCGGACTCACCCCATTATTTTTTTTAAAGTTGTTACACATGGATTTATTCAAAAATACATTTCCGTATACACCATGATTTTACTAAATAAAATAAGGTGCATCCAGAAGTACATATCCGAATATCCTCTAAGATAAGATTGAGTTCCTAAGATCCATATTGATCTAAAACTTGTATCAATCTGAGTGTCATTATACTTGTTAGCACAGACACTCACAGAATACACAGAAACTGTCTCAATATACATATCTCAATTTTTTGTACTTTAACAGAGAGAAGCCCCTTCTTCAATTTAGGTTCATAGAGATCACCAGTCTTGTCGATCTAAAATCAGTACTCGAGAATCTGTACCCAGACAATCAAAGAGTTGTGAATCTCTATTATCGTTTACCCTTAATTAACTACGAGGAAAGATATAGTTCAACAAGTTTGAGCTGAAGGCGGATGCAAATTTAATAATTATGTGGAGTACATTTCACCGTTACAAAACTAAATCTCCAATCGAGGTGGATGAAAAATTACGAAATCGACTGAAGATATTCTGGAAATGTTAAAACATCTTTAACCATCACTTGATGAAATATAATATTAGATTTACGTTAATGATTATCTATGTAATATTACGTTTTTAATGCATGTCATAACCATGATTGATGTTAATTTATTTTTGTTTTCTACATTTGTTTTCACTTCTGTTTTTGGTTTTAAAGCACAACAAATTTCGAAAGTACATTTTCGTATTTGAGAGACATTTTGGGGGGTTTTTCCATATATGCGAAAGCAACACTTAGTGTAGCAGAAGTAATGTCCAAAATATTTTTTTTGTTGTCTCAAAAAAAAGTTTGTCGATGTTCTGGTTTCCAAAAAAACAACAGTGTCCACTGTTTTATCAATGATTTTCAGACAGAACAACATAGTTTGGCTAATCATGTTTACTAAAATTTTCTAGACATTTTCCATTTCATAGTTTTACTTCATTACTCACACTTCACACCAAGCGTAGGCCAAACTAAAATTTTGATCAGAAAATGAAATTACTTTGTTCTTTAATCTTTCATTATTCACTTCTCATCCATTTCATCAATCTTTTGCAACAAAAGCAAAAGATGAATAGAAAGTCATATCCACTGCTACAAAAAGTTGCTTACAAATTTAAGCCCCTTAACCATAAATTTTCAGAACTATTTCATATATTTTAAGTTAGTTTTCCCTCCTGCATCTAACCCTAGTTCATTTTGGTTGGTTGCATACACCTAACCAAAAAACTTGAAAATCTTTGTACAAAAAAACATACCTATTGGTTAAACCTTAAATCACTATGGTTTTGTTCTAACTCTTTTCTTTCCTTTCGTCGGTGTTGTAATCTTTTGACATGAAGTCACACGTTCAACTCTTTTCGGTCTACTTAAACTTTTCTTCACGACCTTTAAAGATTCCACAGAAGGTGAAGAATCGGCTTTAACCGGCTTCTTAGCTCCTTGTGAGTGTGGCATCCCCGATGCAGAGTTGTTGCCACCACCAGCCTTCGCAACGATTTTTCTGTTTCCTGGTCTTACACTTCTTGGTTTCACATGAACATTATGAACAGGTAATTTCACAGACTCATTAGGCTCTTTAGGCTCAGTGATTTTACTGACTTTGCTGCTGCTAGTACTATTATTACTACCCTTGAAATTTTCTCTCATTTTTTTGGTGACAATGTCTCTTAGAACGAGAGCAGTTTTATACTCGCGAGTGTTCTTCGAGTAAAAGACTAAGGCATTGTTGGTGAGAAGCAGCAAGTCTCGGAATAGTTCTACAGTTGATTTAATCGTTCGGATGCTGATTCTTGACCTTATCGTGTCGAAATCCATGTGCTGCCGGATCATTTTCTTGTACCTTCCTCTCTTCTGTTGTAAAATATGAATGAACTAGTTATTCTATGACTGCATAAAGCCTTGTATTTCTACTCTTTGCTTAAAAGTTTCAAAATGAATAAAATGCAAATTCCTCTATCCATTATAAGTAAAAATGAAAATCAATTCTTCGTAACATCGAAAGCTTCATGAATAGAAGACTCGGAAACTAACTACAAATGTACAAGATGAAACTCTAATTACACATACCTGACTATCAAGTCTGCGACGGAAGGCAGAGGCGCCTTTTGTCTCAAAAATAGAATCTAAGATCTCAATCATATCTTCCGCGTAGCGCTTTTTCAAGTTCTTATTTCGATTATCTACATCATCAGAAGACTTTGCAACTTCACCGCAGTTACTGGTAGAACTTTCTTTACACCAAGAAAGAACATCGGCCGAATCTATTAAGTCACTTTCTCCAACACTTGCTGCTTCTTTAATACTTCTGCTACAATCCTTTCTTTTTCTCTTCCCTCTCGGCTTTCTACAAGTTCTTATTTGTCCTTCATATAAAAAGTTAGCCAAATTATCTACATTCGAAACTTTAATCTGCTCGGTAGATTGTGAAACTTCGGGCTTAGTTTCATTATCATCAGCAGACGCGGCTGGAAGCTGGGATTCAGGAGACCAGTTTAACCTCGTTTCGTGTGTGAAACTTCCAGCTGATAAATCATCCTTTGATGTATCTTTAGTTGAAGATTCAACTCTTTGCAATTTCTTCGATGGTATATGTGATACCGGACTTTCTAAGCCATTTTTACAATCATCTTTTTTTTCATTCTTCTCGGCCTCGAGGACTTCAAGCTTTGATTGAAGAGACCTGAAATAAATATAAGAAAAGTTAAATATTTTCATATATGCAGTGTCGTGTTGGTTTCAGACAGTGACACTAACACTAAACTTGAGGAGAAAGATAAGCATGAAATGCAACTAACCCAATTGAGACTTCGGATCGCTCCATAGCTTTTTTCAGCTCTTCCACTCTTCTCTTCTTAAGCTCTTCAAACCAAGCCCTGGTATTATTGTCATTTTATCATTATACAATTTCTATGAAATCTTCAAAGGCTATTTCATTAAATCTAACGCTTATATAAATATACTACTAAATAGTTTTGTTAAGCAAACTCAGTTGATAAAAAGATTTCAGAGACGCGGATTTAAATTTGCGACAGTGTAATTAAAAATTGTAGTGCCAAATATGTTTGAAAAGTTTATAAGAAAAATAAAAGAGCTACTCACGTGCTCCCAGAATACCGTTGTCGCAAGTCTTCATATTTAGCTTTACATACCTACAAAAGTAATATTGCTATTTTAATTAATTAACTAACTAACACATAAGTTTAAGCTATGTGTCATTTCTGATTACTAATTTTATAAAAGAGAGGTTGGCCATAATCAATAATCATTAGAGTAAACAAAGCAAAAGGAATTGTGCCACCTAAATGACCATGTGCACTGATGGTATTAATTACAACTTTATCATTATTATAATATATTATTCTTTAAATTAATTATTTTAAAAAATTATATAAATCAAATGTATTAATTATTTAACAAATTTCCATCTATAATAATGACAGAGGGAATAATAAATTAAAAAATAAAGTCAAAATATTTGATTTCTATAACGACTCATGTGGTCTAAATATTCTTTTGGTAACGTTGAACGGTCTAAATATAAACATTCTTTGATTAATTTGTACTAGTTGTGAGTAACCTATTATTAAATTGTAACCTAAAGAAATCGGCTTATAATGAGTCAAAAGATTTAAATAGAACATTCTTTTGATAAAAAGATTTAATTCTTATACAATATGTAAAATAAAAATCTTACTTTATAAATTGTGTATCAACTTTTTAAATTTTAGCAATTTTTTTATTTTAAATTTCTTAACTTACAAGTTAAGGAGACAAGCTAACATGCCTCTTAAATGTAAAGAGTTTATGTAATAACAATTGACTATAAAAGTCAGATTATAAAAATATATTTTAAGATCAAATGTAATAAAATTGAAAAAGTATTAAATAAATATTTCATCTATCTCGTATTAAATATTTTATTTAATTGTATGAGTTCTTTTTTAATTTATTTATTGGATTTCAATGATAAATTTAATATTATCTAAAACATTTTTCTTATTTATTTTATTAAACCAATAAAATATTTGTGTTAATTATAATTATTAAAATTCAAACAATTAAATTAATAAATTAAAAAGAGAAAAAAATCATATTATTCTATAATAAAATATTTTAAGACAATAAAAATAAAAATAAAAATCATATTATTCTTATTTATCATATTATTTATGTTTTATGTTATATTCTTAAAATCTTATATGAATGTTTGAAAAAAAATGAGAAGGTTAAAAAAAATGCATGAATGTTTAATTAAATATAAGATATTCCTTATTTAAAAAGATAATACCTCATAAAACACATTGGTCATTTATATGTAACCACTACCAATAAAACAATAAATAGTCAAAGAAATTTAAAATTTAAAATAAAACAATATCTAATCATTCAAAAAAATTCCATTAAGGAAAAACAAAAAGCAAACAAGAAAAAAAATCTGATTTATCAATAGTACCTCAGGGGTAAAAGTGTCTGAACAAACTGCTCGGGCTCGGAGTTCAGCGGCGACGACGTTCCATGCTTGAGTCCCGTGGCGGAGGACGGCACCACCAAGGAGGAGCTCCTCCCAGGTCCCCCATCTATCCACCACCACCTCCGTTCCCATCAATGTCCACGTGTACGTCCCTGATTAAACCAACAATCACCACTAACAACAACAACCTGCGCATCCGGCTCACGTTAGCAAACACTGCTTCTTTCAAATAAAAATAATAAAACAAATCAATCATCACCGTTTCCGGCGACATTCAAAACAAAAAGAGATGAATAAAATTATTTTACGCGGCGTGAAAAAAGCTTACCAGTTTTTGCGACGTAGAAAAAACTGAAAAGCGGTTTTCCGGCGGGAATTTCGGGAAATGGTGGTTTTGGCTGGTTTAAGGTGGTTTTACGTACGAGGTTGTATTTTTTTTTTTATTGTTGCGTAAAATAGTTAAGAGAGTAAGCGTGAGACAAGGGATGAGAGATTCTATTTGAAAGGATTGAAGAATGATAATCTCGTAACAGAAAATGACGACAACATAAACAACCTTAACAACAAAAACATCATAAGCAAATTGGAAAAAATAATGAATGGATGATGAAACAATTGACAATTATACTTTTTCCTAATTATGGTTTTTTTATTCACTTTCTCTCTCTATTTTCTATTTTCTCTTCTCTCTCTAAGATTGGGTATATACGGGAATTCTCTATGAAAAGTCAGTTATATCCTTAAGCACTATATTGGTTTGTTTACGGTTTTATAGAAGAGAGAGGGTTGAGGCTAAATTTATATGGTTTTGCAAAGTAAAAAAGGAATATAAAATAGATAATCTAAATGGTAAGTAATAAATTTAAAGTTTTAATTGAGTTGTCAAGATAGAATAGAGACAATTAAGATGCCCATTTTACGGAAAGTAAGATATAATATATATTTGCTAGCCTTTATAGGTTTGTTTTGTATACCATGTAAAAATTAAATACTATATTTTATTTTATTATATATTTTTAAAAGCTAAAAATGATGTAATATATATAATGAAAAACCTTTAATTATAAAAGTTTATTATATTGAGTGTGCTAAAAATTTAAAATGTTTTTTTTCTTTTTGTAAGATTTTAAAGAATGGTTTTATTTTAATATATTATTTTAATAAATATTATTATTTTGAACAATTTATTTTTCATGTTTTTATTTTTATGAATAATGTTTTCTTGTCTTATATGTAGCTTTTTTTTTACATATTAAATAAGTTTATTAATATACATTAGTGATATATTGATGAACAAATCTATAAAAAATTTGAATAAAATGAAAAAAGAAATTATGCAACATAATAATTTATGTTTTGAATCAGTTAAATGTCTAAACAACGATAATTTATCATGTCATCCTTATATTGATATGATACCCCTACGATAATTTATCGTGTCATCCTTATATTGATATGATATCCGGATATGAAAGGTGTTTTTATAATAATATCTTTTGTGATTTTTTATGTTTTTAAAAAATATGTATTTTATGAGTTCTTATTGAATTTTTAAGGATTCCATGAGTTTTTATTGGACTTTTGAGAGATCTCATGAATTCTTATGGAATTTTTCAAATTTTACCGAATTTGATCTATGGTATTTTTCATTTTTCAAATACACTATCGGTCTCGGATTTTTCATAACTCTAAATTTTTATCAGATTTTTCAAAAATCTATGAATTTTTACAGAATTTTTCAAAAAGTCTATGTTTTTTTATCAGATTTTTCAAAAAATCTATGAGTTTTTATCAATTTTTTTTAAAAAGTATAAATTATTACCAGATTTTTTAAATACACTATCAATTTTTTAAAATATTTATGAGTTTTATCGAATTTTTCAAAAAAATTGATAGTATTAATTTTAATTTTTTTGTCTATCAGAAATGAACTACTAAATTATTTAAAAATTTTCAAAAAATTGTAAAACATATCGAACTTATCAAAAAATCCGAAATATTAAATTAATTTTTTTAAATAGTAAAAATACATACCAATATTTTAAAATACATTATCAAATTTTTCAATTGCATTATTAAATTTTTTATTTATCCTTTGATAAGAATATTTTTGTTATTATAAAAATATGTGAGTGTCAGGTCAAAACGGATAAATTCTAATATATATAATAACAAAATTTAATTACAAAAATTTATTATATTGAATGTGTTAAAAATTTAGAATGGTTTTTTTTTCTTGATTTTAAAGAATGGTTTTATTTTAATATATTATTTTAGTAAATATTATTATTTTGAACAATTTATTTTTTAAATGAAATTTAAATATATTTATCATATTTTCATTGAAAAATAGTAAGAACCACACTTAAAAAATTGTAACTAAGTTTTTTCCTTTATTTTTCATGTTTTTATTTTTAAGAATAATATTTTCTTGTTTTATATGTAGTTTTTTTTACTAAATATATTATTAAATTAATTTATTAATATACATTAGTGATATATTGATAAACAAATCTATAAAATTTTTGGATAAAATGAAGAAAAAAAGTTATGCAACATAATTTATATTCTGAATCGGCTAAAGGTTCAAACAACGATAATTATCCTTATATTGATATGATATCCTTATATGAAAGGTGCTTTTTATCATAATATCCTTTATGATTTTTATGTTTTTAAAAAAAATATGTATTTTATGAGTTCTTATTGAATTTTTAGTATTCTATGAGTTTTTACTGGATTTTTGGAAGATCTCGTAGATTTTTATCAAACTTTTTAAATTTTACCGATTTAATCTACCATATTTTTTAATTTTTCAAATACACTACTGGTCCCGAATTTTTCAAAACACTAAATTTTTATCGAGTTCTTCAAAAATCTATGAATTTTTACTGAATTTTTCAAAAAAGTCTATGATTTTTTATCAGATTTTTTAAAAAGTTTATAAGTTTTTATCGAAATTTTCAAAAAATTTATGAGTTTTAACAATTTTTTTAAAAAAAAGTATGAATTATTACCGGATTTTTTAAATATACTACCAAATTTTTATAAAATTTATGAGTTTTATCGAGTTTTTCAAAAAATTCGGTAGTATTAATTTTAATTTTTTTGTCGATCAAAAATGAACTATCAAATTATTTAAAAAATTCAAAAAGTTGCAAAACATATCAAACTTATAAAAAAATCCGAAGTATTAAAATTTTTTTTAAATGGTAAAAATACATACTGATATTTTAAAATACACTATCAAACTATTCAATTGCATTACTAAATTTTTTATTTGTTCTTTGACAAGAATATTTTTCTTATATATATATATATATATATATATATATATATATATATATATATATATATATATATATATATATATATATATATATATATATATATATATATATATATATATATATATATATATATATATATATATATATATATATATATATATATATATATATATATATATATATATATATATATATATATATATATATATATATATATATATATATATATATATATATATATATATATATATATATATATATATATATATATATATATATGTGTGTGTGTGTGTTTTTTCTGGACTGACCCGACAGTTCGAGTGGGCTCAGTCTAGACTTCCTCTTAGGCGTGGTCAATACGACTTTGACCTGAATCCTCTTCACCCCCTGTCAGGCGCAATCGATCGTTTGCTCTCCTGGACCGGTACTGATCCATGGTGACCAACGAGCATCTTCCAATCAGCCTGAAATCAAGTCGTTCAAACAACCAGAAACCGACCAGACCGCTGCCCGTAATCTACCTCCTCCTCGGATCAATGGCTAGTTACGGGCACGCATGCTCAGTATGACTAAGTCCTGGCAGTTACCTATTTTCACGGGTCCACATATCTAGGCCCAAAAATAGGAATCAATGGCTACGCGCCAGAGGCACTATATATACCCTTACACATGTGAGGGTCAGGTATCGAATATTCACTATTATTCACTACTAAAATCCTAACACTTTGCTTGTATCTCTTGGCTCCCTTACTTAATTGATCGTCAAAGTGTCTTACAAGTACAACCCCCCTTTTTTCCTCCTCGACTTTCCTGCCCGACAGAAGATCGTCATCCGACCACCTTGTAGGTTCTGATCAACTGGTAAGATCAATGGCGCCGTCTATGGGAAGTTATCTTCCCCGTTTTCTATCCCTCGTAATTTGAAAACCAAAGATCCTCTACATTCAACAAACATGGCTGACCAATGATCATCACCCATCTGGAAAGACTCCACTTTCCACGGTGCACAAGACTGACGGAGGTCAAGAACATCCTCACCTCGAGGATAACTTCGGCCTCTGTGACGGTCAAACTGCATCCCCGAATTCTGTCGATGCCCAGCGCGGCGATCAGTAATTCTTGGACGGACAGCATCCCAAGATCTCCGTTGAGGAAGTTCCAGAGATCTTACAATCAGTTCCCATCCCTCAGAGCGCCGATCCGATCATCGTAGAATTTCCCGCTGCCATCAATCAAGCCAACGCCCTTATCTTGCAACAAAACAAAAAGACGGGGACCTGGGAACATAAGCGGTCACGATCTCCTCCTCGGAGATCCCGACGATGATATTCCCCCCAACACATCTCCACCAAGGCGTGGCCTCCCACCGGAAAAGGATAAGCGCGACGTTTCTTTCTTCAAGAAATGTGACCGCACACCTCCCCTTAAAGATCAAGACTTTCTGTCATCCAAGAGAAATAAAAGCAATTGCCAAGCCGATCGCCATCGGTCACCATCGCCCAAGTCGAGACAGCAATGGAGGAGTCCTTCGCGCCATCGAGACCACGATGCCTGACGGGGACAGAATTATCACTCCCCTTCTTTGTCTCTTGTAGATAGCAACGACAACGAGCCCCGCAGGCCGTTGTCGAGAGAAATTACAGAGGTACCACTCTCATTCGTACTGGAAAAGCCACCCCTATTGGGAACATACGATGGGACGACAGATCCCGACGAACATATTGAGAACATCGACGCCCCCCTCGACTATCGAGGGGTCAGGTGAACCATCAAATGCAGACTGTTCTCGATCAATCTCAGGAAGGAGTTATGTCTTAGTACAAGAGTCTCCTAGATGAATCC